TTTTTAACTATTTATTTTTGCATCATTTTAAGTTTTTTAACGTTTTATATGGAAAAAAAAAAAAAAAAAAAACAGCCTTTTCTGAGAATTTCCAAGTGTGAGCATCATTTCACAAGATTCCAATAAAAATAGAAAATTTGGCCTTTCTTTTGTACAACTGGGACTTAACTAGCATTAAAAGTGACTGTTAATTCCATAGGATGAAATCAACTTCAAAAAGGACCTCTAACAAACCATCCCCCACAAGAAAAAAAATACCTCTTGAAAGAGTAAATATACCAAAGTGCCACTAAGACACCAGATTGCCACTTTCCTTCGTACAAAAGCAACCCTCTTTTGTGAAAAAGGTGACAATGACAAAACCGTTATTAAGCGCACCTAATTTAAAGATGTAATCACACTTTTAGGGGACCAATTCAGACATAAATTCTTATTTTAATTCTAAAAATCACAATCAAATGATTAATCAACAAATTCATGCAAGAATCAAATCCAATTGAACCAACCTTGCTGCAACCAGGGACTAGCTCCTGCAGCAACTTCATCCTAGCATTAATCTTCTCCCTCCTTGCCTGCAAACAACAACAAATTAGCTAATAAAAACCAGAACTTGTTGACAAATTATACAATAAATCACCAATTAAGGGTCAACAATGAAGTTACTCTTTCTGCTAAGCTATGACTATCGGTGGCTTGGCCACGGCGAGCTCGGACATGAACATAAGGGAGCTGCTCGGCGTCGTCGGAGCTCTCATTTGCGGCAGTCTTGCTCTTCTTAGCCGACCCTTTAGCCTAAATCCCCTCCAAAATGAAACTAATTAAGCAATTTGTCAAGATTTAGCCATTAAAATTAGCAAAAGATGGAAAACCCTAAATCATTTTCACCTTCTTTTCTCGCTCCTTCCTCTTCACAGACTTCTTATGCACCGTCGGATCAGAACCCGACGGCTGCGAATACTCCGTCTCCGCCGGCTCACTTTTGACCGCCTTCTCGGGATCCGCGCTGGAATTATCCGACGCCGTCTCCGCCGAATTCTTTTCACTGTTGCTATGCTTGTTGTTACTCTCGCCAGCAAACACAGAGAGTCTCGCAGCTCTCTCGATCAAAGCAATATCCGTAGGGAAATGAAGGCTCCCCTTGAAATCGTCCATCTGGGTCGGTTTATAGCTGTCGTTAGAGATAAGATTAGCGGATTCCGGTAAGTGAAGTAGTTCCACAGCTTGTGGGGCTGACAGCTCGAGTAAGGCAGTGAAGGAACTCGAGCTATCCGGCGGCGCAGCCATCAACAGGTGGATTTCATCCGTGAATTGAAGCGATTCCAGGGCTGTCAACTCTTCTTCCGGCGCCTTATGGATAGATCTAGCTCCCGTTCCTGCAATTGCCTCCATGGAGTGCACCAATTCCAACACTTCCAAAGGAACCCAGTTCGAATTCAGAAAAAACAACAACTACCCACTTGGTTAATTCAATCAAATTCTCACTCCCTTGAGTTACTCCTCCTCAAGAGAAAGACAAAACCCAAATTGGGTTTTCTCTCAAAAAAGGGAATTCTGACTTCTGGGTCAAAGAAGAGAGGCTCTGCTCTGTCTCTGTTGTTGGTCTTTTTTTTGCAAAGAAAGATTAACAGAGTCCAGGAAAAAAAACCAGAGGAAATGAAGAATGAGGTGCTTCAATGGCGGTCAAGGTTCGTAAATGTGGATTCTGTAATGATTCTCTGCACAAGAGATTACTTTCTGAGCCATTTGAAGTATAGGGAAAGCAACGTTGAAGGTTGTCTGGTTTAATTATATAAGGGAATTTTTTGAGGCCATTGGTTACAGACTGTGGGGGTTAGGAAATAAAGGTTGGAGGTGGTCCCCCTCTAGCTTTTAATATCTTCAGTATAGTCTAGAGCAGGAGAAGAAAAAACAAAATCTATCACATATTCACATTATAATGTTGTAGATTTGTGTTTTGTATAATTGGTCATGTCAATAAAATTTTATGGTATATACAATTTTGTAATAAAAAAATATTATACTTAGTATGCCACGGATGTTATAAATTTACAAAAAAAATATGTTATCATATGATTTATTTTACTTAGAAATTATAAATAAATTAGTAATATGTATATTTTTTTTTATGTTAATTACATAACGAAAAGTAATTTTCTTTTATAACGAAAAGTAATTTTCTTTTATCTCTCATCTTACTCCACTCGCATGCCATGCGAGTTGAATCCATAATATCTTATTTCTAATAAAAAAAATTATCATTAAATTATTTAATTTATCAACAGTAATATGTATGTTATTATTTAATATTATATAATAATTATAGTCATCTAGAAGATTAATTAGTAATTAAGAGTTTAAATTTTT